AGGACATGGCAAAGAGAATGGCTGAAAAGCATGGACTTTCTGTTCTTCATAAAGAACTTGAGGGAGTTGGCCATTTCTGAATTTCTGCTCGTTTTGCCGGAAATACAACAGGCATATTCATTCATAATAGCTGAACGGCAAATTTGGCACATTTGGAATTACAAATAAAAAATAGAACTGTATAATTAAACTAAAATTATTGTAGACTATATGGTTTTTGTCATCTTCTGGTTGGTCAACTTCAGATGGATCGCCAAATCGTCTCGTTCAACCGCACATACGCCACGAATTTAAACCGACAGCATCCGATTTTTTTTGACATGTTTGAAAATTATCGGGAGGACGGGAGGTGCTCGTAACGTCTCGGATACGTGTGGTAAACTTGTAGTGAGCAATGTCAACATTTTCCACTCCCTGATCTCCCCTAACCACAACACAATAATTATAGTAAGAAAGACTTTCAGGTGCAGTATATAAAAAAAGTAATTAATGCAGATTTTATGACCATAATACTATGTAAATCTGTGACTTTAGAATCCCTCAATATTTTATAATTATGTTTCTAAACTGAGCAAAATGCCTTGATGGCAAGCCATGGAGGTGTACAGATTTCAGGAAAAATGAAAGTGCTGTTGAAGCTTTATTATTAGTAGCAGCGTCCAGGTACATAATCTGAAATTATATAAAAGAAAAGTACCAAAGTTACTCAGCATTCTGTTTCAAATCTATATGACTTCCTTTCCTCTTTGGAACACAATTGAGGTGGATTTTGAGGGCCCTTAAAATAAAATAAAATCTATAAACAGTAATGAACTTTAAAATTTAACAATCAAATCAAGAACAATTACATTCCTTGAGTAGCCATCCACTCCACCAAATACAACAATATTGTACCTACATGGGATGAAAAGAAAGAATAAAATTAAGACAGAATTTTAAAAAAAAAGTCCTTGGCTTTTTAACTAGACTTTTCTTGACTAGTACCTAATTTCCCACCATATATTACACATCAAAGACTTTTATTCAGCCAGAATCAGATGTACTTTGCCCTCAACATCTACTTTATACATTAATTCCAATGTAAACATAATACTCTACCTTATCAGTTTATGATTAGTATCAATATGGACCAAGGAAAGGGGGCCTCGCACAGAATGGCTTCTCCGTACTACACATCCTAGTTGTGTGAGCCGTGAAAAGATACCCACTGCATCGACTCTATGCATGGATGCCATCATTCTCCACCATTGAACACGGATTCCCATTGAAACCAGATGTCCCTGAACCATGTGGTAACCAGCATTTGGCATCTGAGACTTAAATTACTGAAATTAGGCTGAAGGCTGAAATTACATTATCCAGCTCAGGGTCTGTGATGGTGCTGTATGTTCCTCTGACAGAAAGATTATATTCTTTCATTCTTCTGTGAACTGTTCTTGTAGAAACACCAAGGCATTTGGCAATGCAAGAAACGGGTAGATGTGTATCCAGCAAATCTTTTAGTCTTTCTCTCTCAATTAAAATTTTTGGCCATCCAGCACCTGGACCAACGACTCTTTCCACTTCCACACTTGGCACACGTGGCTTCAATCTCAGACCTTACCAGATGATAAAGGTTTCGCAGTCCATGTAAAATCTCTGGGGGAACGTCTATCTGTCCAGAAAAGGATTCAAGTATAAAAAGCTCATGGTGGCTCATAAATTCCAAATAATCAAGGTTAAGTGGTTGCTGACTTATTGTAGATTGCAATTTGTTCAAAGGTCTCTCCAAAAACTGCTCTTTCAGAATATCCTGTGGAATAGAGGTAAAATTAACATTTGCATTAAAAAGTATGCATGTGTATGCTTGTCATATCATATGTATACTCAGAATGACAAAATAAAGTGGACAGTTTTGCATATACTACGCATTGCCACAAGACTACTGGAAAATATAGACTGGATTATTAATCTTACACACTACTTAGGATGGATAGTATGCCCATTGGGATGCAGGCTTGTTCTCCCTCACTGCAAAATAAATAAATAAAATAATGTTGGTAACAATGACATATATGCAAATATATATATGTGTATACTATCCATCCTAAATTGTGTGTAAGATTAGTAATCCCGTCTTTATTTTTTAGCACAATAGTATTTTTTAATAGAACATCTCTGTTGTGAATGTTTTTGTTTAAATAATTTTTAAAAGTATTTTGATTATTAATTTACAGTTATTACATTGCATTTCTGCGTTTATTTGATAGGTTTTATTTTTAAATATTCAGAGGCAAGTTTTGTACCTTGCTTACACACTTAACTAACAGAACATCTCTGTTGTGAATGTTTTTGTTTAAATAATTTTAAAAAGTATTTTGATTATTAATTTACAGTTATTACATTGCATTTCTGCGTTTATTTGATAGGTTTTATTTTTAAATATTCAGAGGCAAGTTTTGTACCTTGCTTACACACTTAACTAATTAAAAGGTGAAAAGTCTGTCCATCTTCATTTCTGAAAACATGTAACATTAGAGACCCCAGCTCAGTCCCTTTTAAATGCCACTAATTACATAACCTGCAGTTCAGTGAGAAGTTAGAACTAACTTACCAGTTAATTGAGGTGTAGGAAACACTGGGACATGCCATTATGTAATAATACGATTTGATGTTGATTAAAAATAAGCTACTTACGTGTGGTCGTCGAGTGGTAGACATTTGAACTTGAAAATAAATTGTCAAAGACTTTATATAGGGACTTTGATAGTGTTCAAGCCATTGAACAAATGTCTCTTCCACCATGTATTTTCCCCTCTTCCTCTGTCGGTAATGCAGGGAGTCTTGTGATTGGTTGTCAAGCCAGCCAATCAGAATTTAGCAGCCTCATCTCTGATTGGCTGGAATTGATGCATATTGCTGGGTTGTGTTGAGCAAGCAAGCGGTCGGCGAATAGAGAGCACACAGCGTGGGTATCAGGAGAGCAAGCAACTGAAACGTTGCATGTGCGAAAGAGAACGTCCGCACACATCCAAATAAAAATCTTTCAAATGCAAAATTGATTTTAGTTCGCTATTTATTTGCGAGACGAACATTTCTCCACAAAACTCAGTTCACACGCCGTGCGAAATGCCCTTTAGGGTTAGGTTAGGTTAGGCACAGTGGTTAACCTGAAAAAAAAAAAATGGCACGTCATGCCGAAAAGGTTGCAGACCCCTGTCATAGAGAAAAGTACATATTGTAGTGGTTTAGACACTATTTCTAAAGAAAGACATAAACAGAAAATCACCAATTATGTTGGACGGGATCCTTATATTATGAAGAGGAGCGAATTTTCTGCTGAACTTAAATATTTGCCTGCCATCGAGGCAGTAGACATCAGCCACTACCTTGTCCTCCAGACATCCTTTACACCCAAAAACAGATGAAAGCGTACAAAAGTAGGGCCGGCTCCAGACATGGGTAGGGGTGGGCTGAGCCCACCCAAATGACTGTCTTGCCCACCCAATCAGAATTAGATAAAGATCGCGTTAATTTTTCTATGCAGTCATTAAAACCAATCTGAAGCGGACTGTATTTTGAGAAGTTTAAGATGGAGACTGCCCCAACAATAATAAAATAACACCAGAAAATTGCAGCATTTTTCTTTTATTAGCTGAATGCAATGCGCGCTGAATTCATGCGGCTTCAGTCTGTTGCAGAAGAGCAGAGGCATAACAACGAGCGAAAATGGGCAGAAATATTTGCGCGCTATCACAGGAGTTTGCGAGTTACGGGGAGTTGAATAGGCTACATGAATATGTATCATAGCCTACCACTGAAATTACCCAAGCGATTTTAATGTTTTAAAAAAACCCGCTCATTCAATAACGTGCATTTATTGCATTAACGGGGGGCAAGAGCATAATATAAGCATCTAAAATGCATGTAGGCTATACAGTTGAGGTGCAGTTCAGATTGATTACTTTACAAAAATTCTTATTCTTGTTCTTTTACTGTTCTTTTTTCTTCTTTTAATTTATTCCCCTAAATCCATTTAAATATTTTATTTATTTCATTTCTTTAAATAAGTACCATTACCACAGAGGTCTGGTCTTTATATTTTCCTCAAAACAATTGGTCCCCCCAATGTTCTAGACATGATTACGGCCTTGTTTGGTATAAATAAAAAAGTTAGTTGAAAAGAATCACAAGTGTTGAATGATCCAGAGAAAGAGAAATAAAAAAGTTAGTTGAAAAGAATCACCAGTGTTGAATGATCCAGAGAAAGAGAACAAAGAGGGCTTTTTTTTTTATTTTTTTTTTACTATTCAATAAAGGAAAAAAAAGTTTATTTTGCTGTGAAAGTGCATGATATTCTAGGCTGCCCATGAAAGCTTTTTTTCAGTGTACTACATAATATAGTTAATATAGCAATATCTACAGTACAAATATATTCTAGACTATATGATGATATGATGACTAAAAAATGCCCACCCAGGATATCTGCCAGCCCACCCTTCTATAGCCGCCAAGAACCGGGCCTGGATGCATATATTTTTTTTGTTAGTGGCTGGGTCAACGAGCTTGGTACCAAGGTGCTCCACAATAACAATCGTTTGGTTTTTGCCCACGTGAGTAACATTTCTTTTTTTTGTCCTGTTGATTAACCTAGCAACAATCAATAAACACTGCTGCGCCTCAGGATGTAGCTTACGGTTGTTTACTTTACTTTATTAGGTTAACCACTCTCAAAGATCTACCGAAAGTCCTCTAAAGACATCACGATCTAAAGACAAGACGATTATCGCGAAACAAGACGGAGAGTCATTACAGCGCATTGCAATTGCATGGCAGGGTAAGTTATTTACGTTCGCCTGTATTTTGTATAACTGTTAAGTGTAATGTTGTGTTGCTTCTGTTATTTTAAATATAATAATACGTAAACCTACAATAAAGTAGGGATGCACCTCATTTTCGGCAGCCGAAAATATATGTCGTGCCACACTGCTCACATGCGCTAATAATAATAGCGTTGTAGGACTATATATTATTTGGATAATTAGTCCCAAAAAAGTTATATTTGATTCTGTTGCATAGAACTGAATAAAAATAATACAATGATATTTAATATTAATATATTTTCTGTCCAATTTTTTGTGTTACTTTCAGTAGAAGTGTGGTTATTTTATTGGCTTGTGTTTTTTAAATTTAGTCTCATTAAAATTATTGAGTTAAGTTAAAAAGTCATACAAAATTACTTTATATTATTTAATAAAATAAATAATTATTTAATAAAATAAATAATTTAGAAATAAATAAATAATTTTTTGGTTTCGGCCCAGAATTTTCATTTCGGTGCATCCCTATAATGTTATATCTTAATGTATCAGCCATTTGTGGTTAATTAAGAAATTCTATTCTATTCTTTTTCAGATTGTCAGGATCCTGTTCTCATGTAGAGGCAGTTCTTTTTTCCATTGAAGCTGGTGTTAAGATGCAAGATAAAGCCTCCTTCACAATGAAAAAGTGCAAGTGGCTGATGCCATCACATGTAAAAAAGGTGTCTAAATGTACTGTACATATTACTGTTTTGTACCCTACTCTACTATGGGAAATGACAGCAACTGTTAATTTGTAAAACACACTTCTGCAGGGAAAGTAAGATCAAACACTGCAACTACAATTCATATGGTTTTGTCTTAGACTAAGACAAACAACACATTGTAGTTGCAATGTTATATCTTTAATTTTCCATGTTATGGACCACATATATGTGTGTTAGAAATGGTAAGTTACTGTAATTTTCCTTAAATGGGCAGTATGTAATGATCTTTATACTTTTCAAATTTTACAGATTGCTGCAGCTCCCATAGCTCTTATAGACTTTTCCTCAGCAAAATCTAAAAAAAGAAAAATGGACTATGCCATCGCTGGGAAATCAACAGAACAAGCTTCAATATCATCAATATCAATTAGGAGAAGGATACAAAAAGTTATCACAAAGGTTTAAGGTCTCTGTCTCCACAGTCAGAAATATGGTTATGGAAAATGAACACAGCATTCCAGGAGAAGAACCTGCTCCCTACTGTAACATTTGGTGGAGGATCATGCTATGGGGCTGTGTGGCAAGCACAGGTCAAAGTTGAGGGTCGCATGGATTCCACCCAGTATCAGCAGATAAGAACAATGTTCAAGAATCAGTCAAGAGGTTGAAGTTACATCGGGGTTGGTTATTTCAGCAAGACAATGATCCAAAGCATTGTTCCAAATCTACCAAAGAATTCATACACAGATACAGTGTTCTAGAATGGCCATCCCAGTCCCCAGACTTGAACCTCATTGAAAATCTAAGGAATGATTTGA